GAAAGGGATTAACCCAGTGACTGTCCAACTTAGCCTCCCTCGCATATTAGGGAAAGTACACCCAGTTTTTCACAGTAACTTATTGAAACCAGCAAGAAAATCTAACTTAAGGCCCTTACCAGCTGCTCCCCACTTCCTTTGGTACAAGGGGAGACTCATTATGAAGTTAAGAAGATCCTTGACTCTAGATTATACAGGGGTCGGTTACAATATTTGGTACAGTGGAAAGGGTACCCACTGTCTGAAGCTACTTGGGTGAAAAGTTGGGATGTGAATGCTGATACTCTAGTAAAGCAATTTCATGATAAATTCCCTGAGAAACCAAAAGGTCTGCCTGGAGGGGGGGAGAGAGGGTTAAGGGGTCCTGTGCAAGGTGTTAAGCCCTTCTTTTGTGTTTTGTCTGTTCTATTTTTCAGGGTGTGTTTTTTTCTGCAGGAGGGGACTCCTGTCAGATTTGGAAGCCATAATAGGCTGGAAACTCCCATGCTGCCATCTTCTCATGTGTGGGAAAGTAGGAGGGGGGATTTAGTAATGGGGTTGTCTATAGACATAATAGCATTCTTCCTGTCGGTCAAGATCAGGGCAATCCTGCATCTGGAAAAGGAGTGGTCGGAGTGAGGTCTTGAGATGGGATGGCGGTTGATTGGAGCATGTGATCGACTGAGGAGTGAGGGGATGGTTTTGGGGGTTTTGATTTACTGAGGGAAAACCCAGACCTCTCAGATTCGGGTTTTCCCAGATGTGCCAGTTTACCTATTCTAGTAAATAGAACTTTGAAAAATGTTTGCTTCAGAGTCTTTACTTGGGTTTTTTTCTGGAACGCTGACAATTAGTTTGTAGTGCTTGTTCTTGAGCAGCAAGTATTAAACCTTCCGTTTCTTTCTTAATGGTTCACATCTTAAGTCATGCCCATGTCAAGTTGTTATCACATTTTCCTTCAATGTTTTTCACGTGTTGTCCATGCAAAGCTTTGGTTTTCCATCTATTTAATCCAGCTGTTTTTCCTTATATTTTGTCTTTGTTTCTGTTGTTTTAATAATTCCATTTTCATAGCCTGCAACAATTTTCCTGTACTTTGGCTCACATAATCATTCAAACTTTGTTTTTCTACTTCTACAGTTTGATGGATTTGCAATAGCCCTCTTCCCCCTATTCTTCTTGGCAGGTACAACCTGTCGATGTCACTTCGTGGGTGTAAAGCATGGTACACTGAGTAATGTATCACTTGAACTGCCCATGTATTAATAGCTTTAATTATGTTTACAGCATTCAGTTTTGATTTTAATATTTTGCAGACCCTCCTGATGTATTCCTTTTTGACTTTTCCATTCAAGATGTTATCTGCTTACATTATGCCTAGGTATTTGTAACTGTTAGCTTTTGCTAATGCTTTCATGATGATTCCATTTCCCAGTTCTATTCCTTCTATTTTTTCCATTTTTCCTCGCTGCATGGATAATATAGCACATTTTTCAAGTACAAAGTTAATTCTGATGTTGCTGCTGAATAATTGAACTGTGCTGAGTACCGATTTAAGTTCAGTGAGGCTTTTTGCATACAATTTTAATTTGTCCATGTACAGTAAATGATTTATCTTGTCATGCTGGCTTGAGATTTGGTATCCCTGTTTTGTGTTTTGTAGGATTATAGTCAGTGGAATTAATGTGATGTTGAACAGTAGTGGCGAAAGTGAGTCCCATTGGAAGATTCCTCTTCTGATGTTGACTTCACCAATGTTCTCCCTATTTGCTGTTAGAACTGTTTTCCATTTTTGCATGTTTGCTTTCAAAAATGTACAAATATTTTTGCTGATTCCAAAGTTTTCCAGACAGGCGTTAATCCAGCTGTGGGGTAGTGAGTCAAATGCCTTCTTGTAATAGATCCAAGCCATATTCAAATTCGTTTTTCTTCGTCTTGCATTTTTTAGTACCATTTTGTCAATGAGCAGCTGATCTTTTCTTCCTCTTTGTTTTTTTTATAATTTCCTTTTTGTTCTACCGGATACAAGTTGTTTTCCATCAGATGATTGAATACTGAATTTGCCAATATTCTTGTGAAGTTTTGAATGGGCTGGGCACTGTCCACCCCAAACCAAGTGGCGGGAAGACAGTGCCCGCCGTCCTGGCAAAGGTGAAGCGGAAGCAGGCAGGGGCCATGCAGGGCTCTTCCAATGGCCTCCGCAGCCCTGGCACTGCTTGGGGGCTGCCCATACATGAGATGTGAGTACAGGTTGAGCTTGGCATTTCACCTTCCTGCCTTTTGTGAACTTCTTGCTGCACTCAAGGAAAGCAGAAGCAGCAGAGACCATGGCTTGTTTCTCTCCCCCAAATTCCATGCAGGAGTGGCAGCACCGCTGTGAGATTTGTCATACCGGTGCAGCCTCCTCGAGCAGGACCCTGCAAGGCTTGTTGTGGCATTGCATGCATGAATGGCAGCACCACCACGAGCTTGATCACATCGGAGCAGCCGGCATCCTGCCACTCGCGGCTGCAACGTTATATCAAACGTCGCAGTGGTGCCACCACTCATATGCGCAATGGCACAACAAGCCTTGCAGCGTCCTGCTCCAAGAGCCTGCACCAGCACAACAAGTCTCACAAAGATTCATTTCTGGCGGAGTTTAGGGGAGAGAAAGAAAAACCAGGGTGCTTCTTCTGAAAATATTTAAGAATCCAACCAGTGAGAAGGGGTGTGGATTTCCATGCCTTCCTTTATGGGAGGTCGCTTCACACCTTTGACATTGGAAGGAACCCTGCGAGGAGACACTGCCACCACCCACAGAGACACAGAGACAAACAGAGCAAAGTTCACTGAAGACGCTTTCCTCTCTTGCTGGCCCACAAGACGCTCACCCCTGGGGATGAATCAGACACCTTGCTGAAGAAACCACCCCATGCCAGCCCAGGCTTCCTAAATCTATCGCTCCCCAGATTGTCCCCCTCATGAAGAAAGCCCAACCTGACGCAAACGCCGCCTCCAGCCATCTCTTTGTCGTGGTGAAACTCCTCTTAGAAATGACAATCTGCAGGTGGGGGGGAGATTTCCTGCACGTTGGCGGTGGCGTCTCCTCGCAGGGCTCTTTCCAATGTCACAGGTGTGAAGTGACCTCCCATAAAGGAAGGCATGGAAATCCCTACCCCTTCTCTCTGGTCAGATTCGCAAATATTTTCAAGCAAAACATTGCCAAGAGAGAGAAGTATCCCTCCCTCGCCAAACTTTGCATGTAGGCATGAAATTTCAAAAAGCTCCTTAATCCGCAGCTGTTGGCTCCCTCGCTTTATGCTTTTTATACACATACTGACATACCCACCCTGCCTGGGGCTGCCATTTCCCCCTCCAAGACTCCATTTCCAAGGAAAGAAGAGAGCTGGAGTGGCACTGGACTCCCCCCCGCGACCCGGCTGCTCCTGAAAGCCTGTGGGCCACTTCTCTGGTTGAACTCCACCAGAGCTTGGTTCTGGGAGAGACCCTTGGAGAGCCAAAGGAGGGCTGAGGGCAAGGGGTGAGGCGAAGCTGATCCCTTCCCCTTTGCCTTCTCTCCCAAAGCACTCCTTGGGGGCGGCCACTTCTTCAGCAGGAAACATGTGCCTTGCACCTTGTGCTGGCCTTCCGAAGGGTAGCATCAGCTACTGGTATCCACATTTTTTTTTACTGTTATTTTGTCATGACCCACATGGCCCAGTATGGTGTTGAAAGTTAACATTTCAGAAATGTTACCGTAGCTGCGGAGGAAAGGACGATATGCAGGAAAATCTCCCACCCACCACCTGCAGATTGTTCTTTCAAAGAGGAGCCCTGCACAGACGCACATCCAAAAACGCTCCCTCCGTGGCTTTGGAGCCTCCAGTCTTGCAATCCTGTGCAGGGAAGGCAGAGGCTTGCTCTGAAGCTGTAAGGAGACCTCCGCAGCTATGATAACATTTCTGATACGTTAACTTTTAACACCATACTGGGCCACGTGGCTCAGGACAAAATAAAGATAAAAAAATTGTGGATAGCTGCTGCTACAGTACCCTTCAGAAGGCCAGTGCGAGGCGCAAGCTGCATGTTGCTTGGCCACCTGCTGCTTTTACGGCCGCAATTGGCAGCAAAAGCGGCCACACTTGTTGGAGGCAGTGGCCGGAGCAGCACCCACAAGGCAGCTGTTCTGTGGACAGAATTTCCTGCTGTGACTGCACTGTTAGGTAAGGAGGGCGCGAGGCATGTGGGGCACTTCACTTGGCCTTCTGCTGCTTTTGCAGCTGCAATCAGCTGCAAAAGAGACCACGCTTGCTGGAGGCCGTGGCCTGAGTGGCATCCACAAATCAGCTGTTTCTTGGATTGTGGGATGGCCTGGTGCAATCCTTTGGGAAGCAGGCATGAGGGGCCGCTTGCCCCACCTCCTGCCTCATACCTGTAGATGGGGGGGAAATAAGATATCTCCAAAAATAAGGCCAAGGATTTATTTCGGAGGTCAAAAGAAAATAAGACCCAATCTTATTTTCGGGGAAACATGGTAGTAATACAACCATACTACATATTATCTAAGACAGTACTGTGGGGATTTTCTCTATCAGAAATGTTTAAATGTTTGAACATATGCTAGGTGGCTTTCTGCTAGGGAATCTGTATGAGTGGATTTCTGCACTTCTGTCCTTACAGAAGGATTGGACTAGATGATCTCCAAGGTACTTTTCAACCTTTATACTCTAAAAGTTTTAACTTCATTATATCTTAGGAAACTGTGGATTATTTTTACACATATTTAAGATTGTTCTATACTTAGAAAGTAAACGATGCTAAGGTTATGCCCAGGAAAGCATGGATGATGTTATATTCTTAAAATTAGGCATTCTTATTTTGATTTGAGAGCTAGCTATCATACAATTGGAGTCTGTTAATTGTATTCTTGTATTAGAACGGAAAACATTTTTCTCCTAGACAATTTAATCAGCTTCTACAACATTTGTGAAACGCTTCATAGCTAAACACTGAAATAACTGTCTATTTTAATTAGGTACCTTTATTTCCTGCTCCAGAGTTAGATTTCTCTCCAAACTGTATTCTACCATTTCTGTGGTCACTGGGAACTTTTTTGGTAGTTCTATGCATTTTTTAATTAATACAGGATTGCAGCCATTTAGAAACTGGTATCCAAACATAAAATCTTCTTGCCAGTGCTGCATTACATATTCTAAGGAGAAAAAACAACAAATATTGTTTTAGGAGTATTCCTGAAGATTATATATTAAACAATTCAAGAAAACACAGGAGAGTGAAAATAATATTAAAAAATATATATACTATGAACTATCTTTGGTAGACATTCTATCTTTTGCAGGGCTTCTAATTTTAATATTTATAAAAACAGGCCATATGTATATTCCATGCTATTTACTATATGTTATTTACTATTATACTATATACATTAAAGGTAGTCCTGTAACAGCAATAAATGCAAGCTAATTTACTGCAAGCTAGAATATGCTCAAAATATGATTACTTGATGGTGTGCAGCCATCAGAACTTCAAAAACAGGCTGTAAGTACTTCTGGGGAGATCATAATTTCAAACACTTGCTGAGTGACTGGTCATTAAACAAGGACTGCCCATATCAAATTAAGGAGAGAGAGGTGGAAGGAATAGGAGAAAGAAGAGAAAAGAAAGGTAATGGAATGATTATTCTAAATCATCAGCAGCAACTATTACATAACATAAAGCCGCTCCCATCACCACAATAACACCATGATATCATAGAACATAGAACATCATCCGAGTTGGAAGGGACCTTGAAGATTTTCTAGTCCAACCTCCTGCTCAAGCAGGAAACTCTATACAATTTCAGACAAATGGCTATCCAGTCTCTTCTTAAAAGCCTCCAGTGATAGAGCACCCACAATTTCTGAAGGCAAGCTGTTCCACTGGTTCATTGTTCTCACTGTCAGGACATTTCTCCTTCATTCTAGATTCTTCTCTCCTTTGTTAGTTTCTACCTGTTACTTCTTGCCTTCTGGTGCTTTGGGAAATAAGTTGACCTCCTCATTTATGGCAGCCCTTCAAATATTGGAACACTGCTATCATGCTGCCTCCCTAGTCTTTTTTTTTCATTATACATACCCAATTCCTACAACTGTCCTTCATATGTTCTAGCCTCCAGCCCCCTAATTATCTTTGTTGTTCTTTTTTGTACTCTTTCCAGAGTCTCAACATCTTTTTTATATTGTGATAACCAAAATTGGGTGCAACATTCGAAATGTGATCTTACCAAAGAGCCTTGGTACTACAGTGGTTTAAAGCACCCTGTTATTAACACAGCTGCCTGCAATTTACTGCTGGTTCGAATCTCTCCAAGGCTCAAGGTTGACTCAGCCTTCCATCCTTTCTAAGGTAGGTTAAATGAGGACCCAGTTTGTGGGGGCAATAAGCTGACTTTGTATAAAATATACAAAAGTATGAAGGCTATTGCTGAATGCACTGTAAGCCGCCCTGAGTCTCCGGAGAAGGGCGGCATATAAATCAAATTTAAACAAATTTAAACAATTAAACAAACCAAGGCCTAATAAAGCAGTACTAACACCTCACATAATCTTGATTCTATCCCTCTGCTAATGCAACCTAGGATTGCATTGGTTTTTTTGGCTGCTGCAGGACACTGCTGGCTCATATTTCAGTGATTGTCTGCTAGGACTCCAAGATCCACCTCATAGTTACTGCTGTTGAGCTATGCTTCACCTAATCTGTTCCTGTACAGTTTGTTTTTCTTGCCTGAGTGTAAAACCTTGCTTTTGTCTACATTGAATTTCATTTTGTTAGAAAGAACCCAGTGTTCAAGTCTGTCAAGATCCATCTGGATCTTAAGCCTATCTTCTGGGATGTAGGCTATTCCTGGCAGCTTGGTGTCATCTGCAAATTTGTTCCCCTTCTATTCCCTCATCTAAATAGTTTATGAAGATATTGAAGAGTACTAGGCCTAAAACAGAACCTTGGGGTACCCCGCTGCTTACTTTTCTCCATGTAGATGTAGTTCCTTTAAAGATTACACATTGAGTGCAGTTTGCTAGTCAGTTACAAATAAATCTCATGGTGATGCTATCTATCCCACATTTTTCCAGTTTTACCAAGAAGTAGGTTGTAGTCTACTTTTTCAAATGCCTTACAGAAATCCAAGTATGCTAGGTCCACTGCATTTTGATGGTCCACTAATTTAGCCACTTTGTCAAAGAATGAATGAAATGATTTGTTTGGCATGATCTGTTTTGACAAACCCATGTTGGCTTCTGGTTATAACTTCGCTTGCTTATAGGTGTTCACAGATATGCTGTTTGATTATTTTTTCAGGATCATCCCTGGTATTGATGTCAGGCTGACTGATCTGCAGTTTTCTGGGTCTGTTTTTTCCCCCTTTTTTTGAAGATTGGAACAACGTCAACTCTTTCCCACTCCTCTGGTAGTTTCCCAGTGCCCCAGGATCTTTGAGAGATATGTTTCAATGGTTCCGAGATCCTATCTGCCAGCACCTTCAGAACTCTGGGATGTAATCCATCTGGACCTAGTGGTTTGAATTCATCTAGAGTGAATAGGTGTTATCTTACCATTTTTTTTGCCTATTTTAATTTGTGTTCCTAGTCTGTCTTTTAATGGTAGGTTGTCAGGGTTCCGAGTAATGCATCCACCGAAAGCAGAATTCCAAGGCAGGTAGATTCCTCAATGAACATGTTTATTGGACACATCCTATCAGCATAGCTAGTGAAAACCAACTCTAAAAGTTCCAGCGGTTCCCCCCCCCTAATTAAAAGAGCAAATATTCCCTCCACAGGTGTCACTGATCACATTGTGCAATGAAGGTAGCTAGGAGGCTGCTTGGCCACTCTTCTGCCATCTGTCGGGATGACCTTGGTTCCCACAGGAAAACTTTTTTTTTTTTTGACGGATAACCGGTCTATCTTCTTTCCCCTTCCCTTCCCCCTTTCAAAGTTTGTGGCAACTATGAGGCAGGAGAAAAATGGCATCAGCCAGGTCAGCTTCAGAGTTGATAGGCAGACCTTCCCCCTTAACTGGAGAGAGGTTTCTGGAAAATTGAAAATAGAGAATACATTAACGTTGCATCATTCCTAGTCTGGAAACTAATATTCTTTTTACCTCCTAATGTGTCTCCTCTTGCACTATGATTGGGGCTGCCCACTGGCATCAGTTGAGACCTTATTACTGACTTTAACAAACTGCTATGGAAAACCAGATGCACTTTCCCTAGGAAGCTGGGAAGTTTCAGTTCCACCATGACAGGGTTATTGATTTTCATGATAGGAAAAAGTCCTATAAACTTTGGCCCTAGCTTTTTATAGGGTAGCTTTAACCTTAGTTACTTGGTGGAAAGATAGACATTGTCCCCTATTTGGAAAGGTGTCTGGGGTGGGGCACTGATGTTTATCGGCTTGCACTTTGTGCATTTTTGCAGTTTCTCGAAGGGCTTGTTTAGTGTTTTCCCATGCTGTTCTCAATGACTCTATCCATTCGGTTAAGGTCATGGAAGAAGGTGGCTCCCTAGCAAGTTCAGGCATGGGAATGAATTCCATGCCGGTTGTGACTTTGAAGCGGGCTACTCCAGTGCTATTGTGCACGGTATTGTTATATGCTACTTCAGCAAAAGGTAGCAATTAGTTTGCTGATAATTGACATAGCACCTTAGATATTGTTCTAGCATCACGCTAGTCTGTTCATCTGCCCCATTAGTATTTGGATGAAAAACCAATCTAAGTCCCTGGGAAGACTCAATAGATCTAATAAATTCCCTCCAGAATTTGGCTGTGAATTGGACCTCCCAGTCTGAAATGATTCTTTTAGGTACCCAGTGCAGGCTATAATGTGCTTAACGAATAGTTTGGCCAGCTTGTGTGCTGATGGGAGGCTGGGGCAGGCTATAAAGTGGGCTTGTTTAGAGAAGAGCCCAATCTTCTGACCGTACTACCCCCACTCTCAGGGAGTTCTACTATGAAATCCATGGCAATTTCTTACCATGGACAGGACGGGTCAGCTACTTGTTGAAGCAGCCCTGGGGGTTTTCCTGGCTGCTTTTTCATTGCGGCACATGTTGCACAGCTTTTGACATAGCTCTCAATGTTCTTCTTCATCTTTGGCCACCAAAATTGCCTCCTTGCCAGGTGCAAGGTTTTTAGGAGCCCAAAGTGTCCTGCTTGTTTTGCGTAGAACTTGGAGGCGAAGGCTGTTGGGGACATACAGTTAGAGCCTTTCCAGGCTAGTCCATCTCTAAAGGTTAGTAGTTCTTTGTTGTCCTGGTCAGCTGGAAGCTCGGTTTGGAGCTTTTAGGTCAGACCCTCACCCTCATTGGCTCTGTGCCTTTGTGCCTGTTGTCTGGTGGTGGCTTGTGCCACTTTTTAGGTAGGAGGAGGTATCATGGACCACTTCCTCATGCTTGCTGTTGTATTGTGGCACTTGTGATAAGGCGTCTGCCAAAAGGTTTTTCCCCCTGGGATGTACTTTAAAGTGAAAGTGAATCGGTTGAAGTACTGCGCCCACCGAACCTGCTTAGGTAAAAGTTTCTGTGGGGTCCTAAGCACCACCAGGTTTTTGTGGTAGGTACTTTAAAAGGGACTTGACTTTCCTCAAGGAATGTTGCCATGTAAGCAGGGCCCAGCGGACTGCATATGCTTCCTTCTCCCATACTGCCCACCTTCTCTCGGTCTCTGTTACCTTTTGGGAGGTCTAAGCACATGCCGGCAGTTTCCCCTCGGCGATTTCTGGGAGAAGGACTGTGTCACTGGCATTCACTTAAATGATGAAGGGATGTTCGGGGTCTGGGTGTTTAAGAATTGGTTCTTTAGAGAAGAGCCTCTTGAATGTTTCTCACCGCATTAATCAGTTGCATAAATACAGCAGGGGCCCCTTGGAGACCGAACACCATCACTTTAAATTGGAAAGTCCCTAAGGGGCTTTGAATGCTGAATTGAATGCTGTTTTCCACTTGTCCCCCTCCTTAATCCTCACCCAGTAATATGCTTCTCACAGGTCTAGTTTGGTGAAGACTTTTCCTTTTGCAAGGTGGGCTAGAAAGTCTTTCATGAAGGGGAGCAAGTACATATTTTCTACACAGACATTTATTCCTCTAAAATCTATGCATAGCCTCACAGTGCCATCTTTTTTTCTCTTTGAACTGCACTGGTGCAACCACCCTTGATT